TACGTCATGTTATGAAAGCACGTATGCTGACCATTTGGCAATTTTATAGCATTTTCATTTATCCCTAAGTTGAATACTCTTATGTAAAAGGGCTATTCATTTCACTAATAGAAGAAAAAAACAACCTAAGAAAAAGTTGAATAATAAGGCTGTACAATTTGAAGGATTTTAAACACTGTTTAGTTATTGTGGTAGAGTGTTAGGATTTCCCTTACAGACAAAAATGTTAGATATAAAAATTTTCTTAGAAATAACTATTTTATGGTTAAATAACAGATCCATGACATCAGTTCACATCAGTGTCTATGGTAGCTACTAATGAAGATGAAAGAGAGAGAGAGAGAGAGAGAGAGAGAGAGAGAGAGAGAGAGAGAGAGGCTAGATTCCAAAGAAAGAAAGGTTTTATCAAAGACATAAACCAGACAAGTATGATTGATTTGATTCTGGCTCTAGCAATAGGGAGAGCACCCTCAATCTGACCATCACAGTGTTTCTGCGGGGTGATCTTGCACTAGACTTTTACAAAGAGGAACACGTAAGTTACAGGTGGGATGACTTACCGTTGACATTGTTTGGCAATCAGGGGAAGTTTAGGTCAGTTAGCTGAACAGGAAATGTTTTTCTCTGTGTCTAGAAAGTTTCAGAGGGACAAACAGTTCTAATCTCAGCTATTCATTCATGAGACAAAGAATGGAAAGTTGGAGGGTCTGTGTCTGGTCTTGTCAGCACGTTCAGGCAGATAGAGAAAGATCTGTGTTTGGCCTTGACATAGGTAAACAAGAGAGTCATCTGTGAGTCTTATGAAGTCATGAGAAAGAGAGGACCTCGAATTTTATCAGAGAAATATAGGGAGGTGGCTCTTTGTGGTAAGCCATTTCCCAGAACACTAAAAAAGGCGGGTGGGGGGGATTTCTCGACCAACACTGAATTCTGGGAGCACAGGGCTCAGGCAGATTTCATCATGGTCCATGGCAACCTGATTCGATTGGAGGCATCACAAAGGACAGATGTGATATAACCCAAGGGGAATCAATTCAAATGGATTGGAAGGCAACAAGCTACCTTAGGAGGGAAAAGACTTTCCATAAAGAATATTCAGGAAAAAACAACTGGCTTAAAGACAATGTGTGTGGGGAGGGTGGAGGGTGGGAGGGGATCATTAGAAAAAGAGACCAATCCACTGGGCATAGGTTGCTGCAGAAATATCACTTTTAAATCAAAACTGAAGGTTTGCCGATGAAGCTTAAGACCATCTCTCAAGGCCAAGGTGAAGTGTGAGCCCAAGTCAACCTTGGGTGGAATTAAGTGCTAATCTGCAAACCTCTAGCTATTAGGTTAAAGTAAATGTAGTTAAATCCAGTCACGAAACTTATATATTGCAGGCCCTAACAGAGTTTGATTCGGAGTTCCTCATATTCCAGCAGCTTCACAGATGCGCTGTGCTGTCTTCTGGCAACTTACGGAAGAAGAGCACAGGGGAAAAGATCGTGGTCTCAAGTCCTTTGATTTACCAAAAACTGCTTAGCCCCTTGCGGACAGTCTTTGAATTTTTGCCCCAGGCAGCTTCAGAACACAAGGTAAGACATTTAGTCATCTGATTGTATTTTTGCACGTGGCCTAATGGCCTCCATTTAAAACAACAACAAGAGCAACACTTCCAAAAATCTGTAAGAATAGGCAGAGCACAGTAAGAGGATTAATTGGAATCCCAGTATAATCTCAGTGAATCTGGTTAACAATCCATAAAATTCTTCTCTATGAAATCTTTTATTAAAGCTGCTACGTGATAAGCAGCTATGCTGCTGAACTTGAATTTCAATTTTAGCTTTATTTCAAGTGCTCAGATGAAGCAAAAGGATAAAACTTGCCCCAACAGGAGAGAAAAGAAGAAATATTGAAGGAAAACAAAATCAATAGAAAGTGAAAAGATGACCATAGAAAACAGGTCAGGCGAGAAATGCTAAATCCCTCGTCACCTCAGCTCAGGCACACAGACACGCAGAGGCACCAAGATGAGCACAGTCTAAAGAGGAAAGTGAAGACGAGGGAGGAGTGTACGTGGAAAAAGGAGGTGGAGAGAACATGTGAGCATGTCCTATAACCACGTGAAAAACTGGTTAAACCATATACCTCTATAATCAGTCCTTTCTCTGTGAAACTCAAAAATGTTCAAAAACTGGCTTCCTAATATTCTTTGTCAGTCACATTTTTTTTAGTCTTTTTTACGTGCTTATTTCAGAATGTAAAACTGCTATAGAATTTATATTTCTGTCCAGCCTCTATTTCCATACTTAAGCTCTACAGCTTTCATGTAAAATATCAAAATGCTCTCTGTTTCATAAGATCTAGAATGACATGTAATATGTTCATGCTTCCTCAGCCTATTATTTGCCAAACTAGAGACCTGGTGCACAAAAATTCATGCACTTGAGGGGGGTGGTCCTTAAGCCCTGCCTGTGCCCTCTGGCAGACCAGGAGCCATTGGGGGATGTCTGACTGATGGCTTAGGCCTGTGCCCTGTGGGGAGTGGGCCTAAGCAGCAGTCTGGCCTCCCTCTGCGGGAGGCGACCCATGGGCTGATGGGGGGGCAGCACTAGCCAGCGACTGGCTAGCCCTGCCCCCGATTGCCCCTCCACCACAGCCCCCTGATCGCCTTCCCCTCTGTGCCCGCTGGCACTTGCCTTGGCTGGCCTGGTGCCACCCACTCGCCAGCCCCACCCCTGGCTGACCAGTAGTTCCGCTGTTTGGTGGATTTGCATATTAGGCTTTTATTATATAGGATATTCTGGGTATATTGTAGGATGCACTTCCTTGTCCTCTTGTGATTGGTGGAGCCACATGACTGGTCTGACTAATGAGTTGAGAGCAGAAGTGACACAGATAAGTACACCGCTGGAGGATTTAATTCCAGTATGAGACCCTCCAGAGTTCTCTTTCTCTCACTGGAGTGACCAACAATATTGCTGTCAGTGGCTGCTCCATTAGGCCTGCCTGTTAAAGTGAAAAAGACACGAAGCAGAGTTGTAGGTGACCTGAAATTGTGATATAGTGAGAGTAAGACATTTTTATTCATCTATAGAAGTTTTGGGTTGTTGCTGTTTGTTACCACAGCATAACCTAACCTATCTTGACTGATACAATCACATTTACATACGAAGTGTGATCTGAGTCTTGATAAAAATACCTTATAATTACTTACATACATTCGCACAAGCGAAGGAAACAAATGACTCCAGAATAAAATAATAGTCTGTCCCAAATAAACTATATAGTTCCCAACCAGAAATCAGAACTTAAATGGCAATAAACAATCCGAGCCTTTAATATCGAGTGGGATATTTTCTTACGCAAAATCGATACTTAAAGAATAGGAAAAAAAGATCTGCCTGATCACTGGCAGTGTTATAGCAGGTTTATCCAATTTTTGTAGCACCATAAAGATAGATTATGGAAACTGGGAAAAATGGTGGAGGCAGATGTTTAATTGTAATAATTGAAAGAACCATTATATGACAGCTCTTTGGCAGATGATAAACAGTGACATGCACTGCTGTACTAATTATTTTCAGTAGTTAACTCTTGAGTTTAAAAATGTGCTCAGTGTTGGAAATCTAAATATAAGTACTATGAATTCCCTTGGCATCTTGATGCGATCCGACAACTGAATAGTAGGGGATAAGAAATGGACATGAAGTGGAAATATGCTAAGTGCTCTAAGAGGTGCACACTCCCTGGTGTGGTAGGCATGAGTGGGGGGTATTCTAAAAGGGGGTAAGTGGTCCAGCAGCTGTGGCTGCTAAAGCATTTCATTGTTACTAAGATACAGTTGCTTGATTAGAAAACTAATGATCAGAAACTGATTGGTAGTAAGAAGCCCCTGGACCAGGCAGGGCAGTTTTGTTGGCTTTCTTACTATCCAATCTATAAATCTAGTGGCCAGTGTGGCCCATGTGGTTGAGCATTGGCCTGTGAACCAGGAGATCTCAGTTCCATTCCCAGTCAGGGCGCATGCCTGGGTTGGGGCTCGGTTCCCAGGCGTGCGGGAGGCAGCTGATGGAGGATGCTCTGTCATCATTGATGTTTCTGTCTCTCCCTCTCCATTCCTCTCTGAAATCAATAAAAATGTATTTTTTGAAAAAATAAAATCTAGCAGCTCTGTTTCAACCCAAGGACTGGTATATCAATTTGTAGCTTATTATTTGGCAAGAGTTTGCATAAGGAGAAGCAAACCAACTAACAGTCCAAGCAAAAGCGGTCCAAGCCTGTGTAGGAGAGTGGATATAAGCATTTAAATCACAGTGTAAAAATAATCATGGAAACAATGATAAATACTGTAATCAAAAACATGTTAGAAACAGAATAAACCATAACAAAAGAACTGTAAAAAATAGGAAAATATCTGAAATAGCATCTCAGAGGTTGCTCTTTAATTCTATGGCATGCCGTTCCTTTGGCTATGCAGACACAGACCTTTCCTTCCAGGGACCACTCATTTTCTGTAGATGCAGTATAATTGGGTCCCTTCTTGTTAAACCATTTAAATTAACACCTGGCTCATTGTCAGAGCTCATATCCATTTCTAATTCTCCAATAAGTTACTCTTAATAAATGAAAATTTGATTTTTAAAAAGCAGGCTGTCAAAATATTTAAGAGGATGACAATGAAAGTATGTTGTGTATACAACATACCAAGGGTGACACCAATTCTATGCATATCTATTGTATGGAAGCAAGATGTGCTTTTCTCAGAGTTTACACTAGGCAAAAAAAAAAAAAAAAGCATTTTTATTTTAACCAGATGTGAACAAATTAAACCCAATATTTTCAAGTATTTTTAGTGCCATATGATGTCATCTGACTTTATATTTTCTACTGAGGGATAATGTGTGTTTTTAAAATTGTGAAGCCACTTCCCATGTATGTGCTTAAAATGTTACATATGATAAATTGCAATAAACAAATTACAACACTGCAGGACATGCTCTTGGCTGTTTATGTCAAAAAAGCAGAGAGAGAGAGAGAGAAATTCACTTTCTCAATAGGACATGGAATTAAAAGCATGTGAATGTCTTTTTGCTGGCCTTCCAGGTAGTCCTCATTTCAGTGACTGAGTAACACTGGCTCGCGATTATCTTGTCCAAATAGGTCCAGGGCAAGGATGACTCCCCAGCCATGCCCTCCTAATAGTACAACTGCCTCTTTTCTGAAAAAAACAAAAGAGCAGCCAGTGGAGTCCAGAGCCACTGCTTACATTAAATAGTACACTCACTACTCATCCAGGGACCCCCCAGATCTTAAACAACCAATCCTTTCTTTTTTATAAGTGACATATTTTCAATGACAGACTCACACACGATGCTCGTCCCCACTGTCCCTAATCCAGGTAGTGCTGAGTTTCCCGGGCGCCCCTGTCAGCCTCTGGAATGGGCCAGGAAAGGCGGGGGCCCCTAAACAGAAGGGCCAGAACTTGCTTCCTCACTCTGTTCTCTGGGGCAGCACCAGGCAAACAGCCACGTCCTGGAGCTACGGTGTCGCCCTCCATGGCTTTGCTAAGTGAACTTCCACCGAGTCATCTCTCCTGGGAAAGAGATTTCTTACAAACCATTCAAAGCTTTCCAAAGGGCAAAAGCGAGATGGTCGCGAGCCAGTGTTACCATACATGCTTCCACTCCCCCTCAACTCATTTCGGAAATAAGGAAGGAAAGAGACGGTCATCCCTGCTGGCTTCGTCGCCTCACCCAGCGCGCCCCCGCTCCCGCCCTAATTAAGAAAGACGCTAAAAGTAAAGTTAATGAAGTGGCGTTTTAAGCGTTGTTGAATTAAAAAGCCATCCTTTCAGACCAAAGCCTTCTCCATCATCCCCCAACACTCGAGCACAAAACCTTCCGGGCGGACCCCCTTGCCCTTCACTCCTTGGCGAGGTCCTCGGGGATGGGTGGGCGAGCTGGGGGTGGGGGAGAGGAGGGGAAAGGGCAGGAGGGGGCTGGAGGCCGCGTGCCCACGGAAACCCTCTGCCAGGAGCTGGGCAGCCCAGCCGTTTCCTAGGACCGTGCCCACGCTCATCCCCCCTCCCCCCCCTTGCCCATCTCTCTCCCCGGTGCAGGCTGCCAGCCTGGAATGGTCTAGGGACCAATGAGGTGGCAGCGGTTGGCGCACGGATCCCCGTGAGGGGCGATTGCATTGCCAGGGGGCGAGGCCGCCAAGTGGGGAGAGTGGGGGCGGAGGGAAGCGGGGAAAGTGGGAGGGAGGGGACAC